CCCCTTTTCCACTGCTGGTTTGGCTCATTTTAAACTTAGTGGGATGACAAACTGACTGAGTCCCATATTAGGGTTCCATACACCTATTTTGCATATTCTTATTCTCACAAGGGTGTCATGCACTTTATTTACATTATTAACAAGCTATCCAGTTCCCTTGGTGAGCCGTAAGCATCTCACATTTGCATAATCTACCCAGTCATCTGTAGGTGTCACAAAGACCATGGCTGTCAGAGCCATACTAAGCAATTCACTGTACCACAACTATTCGGAGACTTTTAGCATATGTTTCACGGTTGTCAAATTGGTGAATATAGATAGATGGATAGATAGAGAGCTAGAATTTGCTTATATAAAAATTTCTTTGAAAAATGTATATACATGGAGATGCAAAAAGGACATGGGATTGGCATCTTCTGACCTGTAGTCTCACGAGGGAGAAACAAAATCAACAGCTGCAGCCCAAGGCTTTTCCTGTGAGGCCAGGCATGCTTCCACCTCCAGCCTTTTACTAACTCTGACAACTATCCCATCCATGACACTCAGCTTCTCTGCTACGTTCGATAATTTGATGCTTCAGCCACACAGAGCTCACAGACAATATCACGATTTTGAGGTTTATGAGGGAAGGAACAGGCTCAGGATACAGTTCTTCGATCGGGACAGTCTCCCCTCTGTTGTGCCCTTAGACACGTCTCTGGCCCTTGGCCTCTTGGCCTGGCCTCTGCTCTGCTCAGACAAGTATTAGAAAGTTCTTTTAGCTCTGACGATAAGTACACCTTTGTGTACTCCACTCTGCCAGCAAGCCTCCTGCCCAAGGACACTCAGCTTTCTCGCTCTGTGGGCCAGGTAGCCCTGCCACTCCGCCTTATGTCTCTTGGTTTCACTGCCACTGTGTCTCTGCTGGGTGTTTCTCTCTGCTGGGCATCTTTTCTGCCAGCGATGTCCGGTGCAGGGATCTTGGGTCCAAGGACACACTCTACTTCACCTGCAGCTCTTGTTTCTTGATGGCAGTGAGATCCCCCTCTTCTGCCCCTAGGAAGGCTCATTTTAAGCCTGGCAGAGTGACAAAATGACCAATCCCAGTAACAGTTCTACAAACCTTATTTTCATGGTCCCAGCTAGTAATCCTGTGGGTGTTAGTTACAAAGACTATGGCTAGAAAAGCCATACCAAGTAATTCACTGCACCACAGTAGGCCATGTGGTAATACTCACAATACTTTCCTTAATTTATTCATTAACAATATAAGGGATTTACATCGCATTAAAAATGATTGTGTTGTTATAGAAATTGCTAACATTAGAGGATGTGGCTGTGAACTTCACCTGGGAGGAGTGGCGGATCCTGGACCCTGCTCAGAAGGAGCTGTATCGAGATGTGATGTTGGAGAACTACAGCAACCTTGTATCAACGGGTAAGAGCAACTCTTCTCTGTCCCTCAGACCATGCCCAGTCATGGGCCCTTTCTCTCTCAGCTGCTGAAATCTTTGTATTCAAAAGATTTCCACCTTTTTGACGTGTTAGATTTTTAGTGCCTTCTCTGGCCCTAAATAAAGGTCCATGATCTCTATGCTGATAGAAAAGCTTTGCACTTGAGGAATTATTTTGCTCCTGAAATGTAGTGTCTTGAAATATGACATACCTTGGGCCAACACAGCATGGCTGAGTCTTACCATTTCTCACAACCAAGGGTATCAAGCTAACAAACCCGATGCCCTCTGCAAGCTGGAGCAAGGAGAAGAGCCGTGGGTAATAGAAGAGGAAGTTCACCAAATCACCTGTCCAGGTGAGTAAGTGAAAACCTGCAAGAGGGGCCTTGTAAGTTAACACTTTGGTCATTGAAAGAAAGTGGGCAAGCTGTGAAGGTGTCTGAAGGTCCTTAAACAGCTCCTCTACCTATCCTTCTCCCCACATGAGACTTTTCCTCTGTGGGTGTTCAAAAAAGGCACAGGGTCAGCATCTTCTTACTGCTTCTCACTTCATGTGGGAGGGACACAATCACCATCAGCCCAAGACTGCTTCCTGTGACATCAGACATACTGCCCCCTCAAACTTTTTTTTTTTTTTTTTACCAGTTCTGACACCAGCTGTCCTCCCACAGTACTGTCCACATCTTTGCTGGATTTGATAATTCATTGCAGTGAATTATAACATAAAAACAATAATCACAATTCTGGGGGTTTTAAGGGAAGGCAGAAAGTTACAATTCAGGTTCAGGAACACTCGGGATACAATTAGTTGATCAAAACAGCCTCACCTTGGTCATGCCTGTAGGCTCGCCTCTCTTTGGCCCTTGATCTCTTGGCCTGGCCACTCCACTCTACCAACAAGCTTCTTCTCTGAGGCACTCAGCTTTCCTCCTGTGGGCTAGCAAGCCCACAGCTTTGTCTTATGCCTGTCTCTTGCTTCTGCTACCTCTCTTGCTCTCTCTCTGCCGTCTGTCTGCTGTCTTATCACAGTGTAGGGATCTCAGGTCCAAGGACATGCTCCACTCCCATCTCTTTTTTTATTGATGGCAGTGAGATTCCCCCTTTCCAACTTTGGAATGGCTCATGGTAAGCCTAGCAAGATGGAGAACGTGACCAATACCCACCTTGGGGTTCTATACTCTTTACTTTCATGGTCCCACCACCACAGGGGACCCATGTATATTATTTACATTACTAACAAGCATACAAAACCCCTGGTGGACCGCAGGTCACACAGTGGTCATGGGTAGAAGGCCCATATAAGTAATTCATTGCTCCATGAGGGGTTTCAAGAAAAAATTATACCCTTGTCTCTTCTCTGTTTCTAGATCTTGATTCTTTTCCTAATTTTCCTTTATATCAGGATTATGTGGTCAGCAATAAAGAGCTAATCCACACCAAGTCATTTATTAAGCATTTTTATCCCACACCATCCTTGTTTAATAATTCATTGTTCTCTTCTTTCCTAGAAATCAGGAAAGTTGACAGTCATCTAAAAGACCACTTTCAAAAGCAAAGGTTTCTCAAAAGAATGGAACAATACTGTAAAGAGATGGTTTCTGCAAATATTGTTCATCTGAGCAAAACCCCTTTACCCCTAATGCAAAGTCATGATATGTTTGGTTTAGGTAGAAAATCTTTGAAATCAAATTTAAGTGTAGCCAACCAGAGCAGAAGATCTGAAATAACAAACCCTGCTAATGAAGACAGAAAACACCTTCTGCATGGTAATTATGAACAGTTTCATGCTGAAACTAAATTCTCTGAAAGTATGAAATGCATCAGCACTAACCCCCAAGTCTTTAAGCATCAGAGAAGCTGCAACATAGAAAAACCTCATACATGTATTGAATGTGGGACAGTCTACATTCAGAAGTCTCAACTCATTCACCATCAGAACATTCGTACAGGAGAGGAACTCCATGGATGTGGTCAATCTGGGAAATCCTCTAGAAATTTCACATTCATTAAACATCAGAAAACTCATACAGGAGAGAGAGACTACACAGCCAGTGAATATGGAAAAGACTCCACTGTGAAGAGCAGTCACCTTCTATGTCAGCAGTCCCATGTGGGAGAAAGACCCTATGTGTGCAGTGAATGTGGAAAAGGCTTCACGACGAAACGCTATCTGATCGCACATCAGCGAACTCATTCTGGAGAGAAACCTTATGTATGCAACGAATGTGGAAAAGACTTCACTGTGAAGAGTAACCTCGTTGTACATCAACGAACTCATACAGGGGAGAAACCCTATATATGCAGTGAATGTGGAAAATGCTTCATCAAGAAGCACTATCT